TCTCTCTCTCTCTCTCTCTCTCTCTCTCTCTCTCTCTCTCTCTCTCTCTCTCTCTCTCTCTTTCAATATTCTCTTAATCGGAAAAATTGTAAAACATTTTTGTATCATGTATTGATTGATTCGAACCTCTTGTAAAGTGCTTTTTTTCCAATTTTTTTCTTCGGTTTCGGTGGTACATATATTCATACATATACATATATATATATGTATATTGTATATTAAATATCTCTGTTGAATTGTGGCATTTAGATCAGCGGCACGTCAATCAATTTCAATGTTAAATTAAATGTTTTTCACGTAATGTAAAAGCGTGAAATTAACGATTTCGTCATGTAATCTCGATATTCAATAAAACGGCGGTATGCGCGCTGTGTCACGCGGAAAACTGTGTGCGTGCGTTTGTGTGTCGGTCAAATTTTCAGAGAGAGCGAAACAAAGTGTTCATTATTAGCTACATTCGCGCAGACAGTTTTGCATCGAATCGTCCCGATTAGCCCGCATTATACGGTCGTATTTCCGATCGTTTTTTTTTTTTTTTTGCGGCGGGAAAAACGAATTCGCGCGCTCGGCGCGTGTGTGCGTGTGTGTGCGTGTTGGCACGGATGGCGAGAGCCCGTGTAATTAAAAAAAATGGCGCAATATTCCCCGTTCGCTTTCTATTTAGGCGAGAAACTGCTGCCCAGTGACAAATACGTGATGTCGGAGTACCCGCTGAACGATTACTCCTGGCAAATGAATCTCACTGTCAATTCCCTGGAACCGCGAGACTTCGGCCAGTACACGTGCTCGTCCGTCAACGCGCTCGGAAAAGCGGAAGGCATAGTGCGATTGCAAGGTACACGAGAAACTCCGATATTATCACAAAATGTATATTCCCCGCCCCCCCCCTCCCCCCATGTATCCTTCTCTCTCTCTTTTCCGACACGTATTCGTTTTGAATCCGCAATGAGAGCAACGCATGTCCCGCGATGAAATCGGACGATGATATTTTATCCGCCGCGTTAAATCACATTAATGAAAAAATTTTCCATCATATTGTGACCAATAAAGCAATAAATCCTTTCGAGACAGATCTCTTGAAATTCTGTGAATAAAATTGTGCGCGCGGATAAAAATCTTTCTTAAACGCTTCAGGGGGGGGGGGGACTTCCCTTTTCTCGCCGGACATTTTTGCGAGCGTTTCTCGCTTATATATGTGCTTTCAGTGCTGAATCTGAGCGTGCCGACGACACCGACGACCCTACCGAAACATACCGATCTGAAACAACGGAAGAACAAGAACGTGATGAAAAGCAACAAGAAGAAGAACAACAGTCACGGCAGGAAGGAGCACGCGAACAGTTTCGAAGACTCGGATTCAGTCGGCAACGAGGACGATTCTAGCACAACGCAGATCATGGGCGGAAGCACGCTCGAAGGCGGACACAGAACGGACAGGCCCCTCGTGCCCTCGTTGTCGCCGCCTTGGGTTATTTTGAACGCCGCGACTCTCAGGCATCCCTCGGTGTCCGCGATCTTGCTGCTGCTTCTTTTGCCGACCACTCTTTAAACAACGGCATCACGAACAACGAAGAAGTTGAAGAGGAACGAGAAGACGTGTGATGGTCATGAGAAACGCGGGGGGATTACGGGGATCCACGAGGATTACGAGGAGAATCCGCAAGCGATCTTGATGATCAGGCTGGTAGATTCAAAAAGCGCTTCGATCTCGCGCGTGCGCACGCGCGCGCGCGGTGCAAATGGAAGAATTGAAATCAATTTTAACGCCGCGTTGAGAAAACGATAATTCTTGTTAAGGGGAGGTTCTAGTCAAAAGGCCCGAAAATTAACGTAATTTCATAATTTTAACGTTAAAAAAACAATAATAAATAATTTTTTTTTTTAAACGCTTCCTGAAGGCCCCCTAAATTGAATAAGCTTTAATTTGAGTCAAGTCAAACATCGAAATCGGTTAAGTCGTCGAAGCGGAATCGTGTGCGGCGCGCAAAAAAAAAAAGTTATAAAAAAAAAATAATAAAAAATAAATAAATTATATAGGTAAATATCCTTTTGGCTACACATTTTCAAGACCCTAAGGATGAAAATAAAGCAAAAAAAAAAAAAAATTTTTGTTTTCGATTTTGACTAGAACCTCCTCTTAATGTCACAAACAAGAGTTTTCATCTTCAAAGCTTGTCTGTTCTATATATACGCACCGGGTGTATTTAAAGATAATAATTGCGTCTACTCTAAAAGGAAAACGATTTCTGAATATTAATACAATCCCCCGTCCTTCGGTCATCATTCGATGTTGCCTTATAATGTTTTTTTGCGATGTTGAAAACGCTCTCTCTCTCTCTCGCTCTCGCTCTCTTACGCGTCTCAAATATCGATCGCGAAATCCAATACCTTTGTGTGAAGAGAGTAGAAAACCAATCTCTTTAAGGGGAGAAAAGCTTTTGGTTTTCCGACGGAATCTGACATCGACTGGCTGGTCATTATCTTCATCCCTTCCATTATCTATATAAATTTCCTGCTTCTGCTCTTTAATCCCAATTTTAACGGGAGAAACACCAATTTTTCGCCGCGTGCTTCGATTTCGGAGTAGCCTTTGGTGAAAATTGATTACGAGTTACAATATTGGAACTTTTTTTACAGAAATTTGGTCGCAGATATTACATACATACTGTGCACGTTCGGTGAGGAGAGGAGATTTACACGAAAATCGTTTATAATAAAGTAATTTTCGACGTGTCTGGTCAAGTGCGATATCATATTTATTTTCCCGCTAACGGCCAACGAAATTTACATTTCCCGCAAGCGATATCTTCGGACAGCATTTGCGCCCCCCTCTCCCTCCCCCCCCGCGCGTGCGAAGCTATTATAAATTCAGGATAGAGATTAATGAATGAACTTAGGAAAGCAAACAAAGGGAGTCTCAGTTTGGTTGTTCCTCCTCGTGGATCTCCATTAGTCGCCGAAAAGTAATGCGAAAGGGACGCGCCGTGCGTACGCGACAATCCTATTCGGGTAAAAGGTCACACAGTCCCCCTCTGGCGATAACTGTAAATATGAACGAAGGTACGAGGTAAATTAGCGGTACAGGAGGGATGTACGGAGGGAAGAGAAAAGCGACTCTGTTTTCCGAATTTATTTGCAGACCAAACGTGGTCTTTTCCAAGGCTTGATTTTCGGTAACCGCTCGCGTTCAGGGAATCGTTTTACTCTAATAAAACTCGCTCGCATCCAAGTGTTTCAAGCGTTAATTGCATGTTAAATAAACAAATTTAGTCGAGGTTTAATTTTATAAACTTCATTTTCTAACTTTCTCGGCAAATCCTTTGAGCGCAATTGAATCTCATCGTCTCTTCGTTAAATATTTCCACAACAATGTTCTTTTTTTTTTTTTTTTCAAATTCGGTACTCGGAAACAGAGTTAAATGAAGTTCAGGTAATGAGAAGAGAATGGGGGGGGGGAAAAGAAACAGGTCTTCCTCTTATTTGATATAACAAGGACGTTACTTTTAGATGCGATATGTAATGTCTGCTGCAGCGCGCGACCAAAAAAAAAAAAAAAGACAACGGCGAAACTTTCGCGATGGAGTCTCTGTAAATATGCGCGACACGGTGTCGGTACACGGGATTCGATCGGCGCGCGTGAGTTAGAGAGCACGCTCTCACACTCTCTTATTCTCTCTCTCTCTCTCTCTCTTCTCGTTTTCTCGTTTTAGACGTGACCAGCGATTAATCGGAGTGTAGATAAAAGATCGGGAAAACAAGTTCGTGCATCGCGTTCGACGCGGCGAATACGGAAAACGGCAGACAACGTCGATGTGAGAATGTGTCGGAATTGCGAAATGAGTTCGCTGCCCCCGAGAACACATCTCACATGTTCGCGCGAATCGTCGTGGGGTTGCAGACTTGTATACTGTTTTTTCAGCAGACTGCGTGAAATGCAAAATATACAAAAAGTTAAACAAGCAATTAAATTGAGAAGTAATTATTTCTCAATAGATGTTGCTTGTGGGAAAAAGTACTTTGTTTTTTAATTATTGATAATGTTTTACATTTTTTTTTATTTATTACTTTATATCATTGTTTCAGACATTTTACGTTATATCGCAGCGAAACGCGACGCGCGAACTGTCTCTCATTCGACATAAAAAAAAAAAATTCATGCGACAATGTTCACATTATTACTTAGAGTTGAAATACGCGTAATTGTGACACAAGTGTTCTCCAGGATATAAGTTCTTCCTTCCATTCCATCGTCCATAAAAAAAAAAAAAATGTAGTCTCTCTACGAATAATTGCGTACTACGTACAATATTGCATTAATTACAAAGTTCGAAAAAAAATTCTTCCGAGAAATATTGCCATATAATAAACTCTCAAACAATTTCTGCCATTTAGCGCGAGTAAAAAAATCGATGGAACGTCAACGCTTTATTTTCATTCGAGTGTTAATTAAATTCCCGTTTGTCTCGCTCTGCACAATCTCTTGTTTCATTTTCCGCTCGTTCTATATTCGTTCAAACGTTAAGTTTTCTTTAAGAGAAAGCGAAATTTGATGTGCTTTTTTCCTCATCAAACGGTCCGACGTGCATTAATAATGTAATAATAAATGAAACCTGATAAATGAAATCCGCCTGATTTTTAATTATCACTGCCAAAGATTCTAAAGCCATCGGTATAGAAAAATCGATAAAGTACAAACAAACGTTTTTGTCGAGCGAAATTCGTTTCACGGAGAGAATTTTTTTGTGGTGTTTTCTTCTTTTTTTAGTAACTAATATATATAAATAATAATAACACTTTATCACATATAAAACAGTGTATGAAAATCTGTTTGAAAGTTTTTTGCAACAAGAATTTGCGTGCGTGTATTTTCTGTTGTATCGTATACATGTACATCCTAATAAGATTGGACTAGCGCGCGAGGCACTCTCTTCCTCTCTTCCTCTCTCTCTCTCTCTCTTTCTCTTCTGTTATCATTTGCTGAAAAATATGCTAATGTGGGAAAAATTTTTGCGGAAAAAAATTCTCCTCCGTGTTCGAGATTCGCTCGGGCTCCTGATCTCCATTTCGCTAGTGACCGTTTTGCGGCCCCGTTTCGTCTTCCACACGATACTTTTTTATCTTTCTGTCGCGGCCCAGGATACCGGCAAGCTAAATGTGCGCTCGACTATTGCAAATTGGCGCGGCTTAATTCGGTCGGTGCACTTTTACGATTAGATGAGCCGACGTATACTGTAGCCCGTACGCAAAAGCGAAGGGCAACGACAATAAATACGGTATAGTGAAATCCCGTCAGATCGAAGATTCATTTGGCTTAAAAGCTCGCTAGAAAAATCGCCGGGCGATTTTTTAAATTTATTTCTCTTCCTCTCTGTTGTTTCTTTCTCACAGACTCTTTTGATGATTGTTTCAATTTGTCGTTACATATTTATGACGACAAGCGCGTTGTCGTTAAGTTGCTCGTCAAGTACTTAATAATTGTGCAATTTGGAGGCAAATTCGACACGAAAACTTGCCAACGCTGTATTATTGCATGTACAAAACTTGATTGTTTTTCTTGTGTTTTAATCATTTGTTAGTTATACTCTATTTTTTTTTTTTTTTTTTTTTTATCTTAAAGAGAATCGCGCGACATCTCTATGTATTGTAAATGTACATATAATATTATATATTACAAGTATATTAAGCAACAATGAGAGATGGCATCTTGTGCCATCAATAAAACAATCTGGCGAGTTTTTAAGCACATCGCGCATCGACTTCTTGGCGCATTTCATACACAGCGATATATACAGGGTGTATAAAAAAAAAAACAATCCGCGCAAAATTCTCTTCTTATAAAATAATTGACACGCGCGTCAAAAAGAGTTGCGTAAAAAAATTAAAACTAACTTCGAATTAAGACGTGCAATTATTTACTGTATCTTTTATCTCGTCAGATGATGTTTCAAATTGTAAATGTTTTTTGCGCGTCTCTTTATTTGCTTGCGAATAACTGAAGAGCATTGTTTCTTGCTTTTTATATACTCTGTATACAAAACATATACATAATGTACATTTCATATATATATATATATATATATATATATATACATAATATAACCCGTTAGACAGAAACTCGTTGGATATCCTGTTATATCACAATAAGACACGCTATTATATAAAATAAATAAATTAATTAATTAAATGCGACGAATTTATATCGGACGTCGCGTATAAAAAAGAAGATATAATACCACACACGGCAACGAGACATATGAATCGTATAGGACCACGTTTACTGTATGTACATACGCTCGTATTATAAATGTTAATGTTATAATGAATACGTATACATATATTATAAGAGTGTAAATAATAATGATATGAGGCCATGTGAACGTTCGGATTTTCGAGGTATGTAAGCTAATTAATAACGCGTTCGTTCGATTTGGATTATGCATCCTCGAACGAGAGGCTAGATTTTGTAATAATGTGACATAGAAGAGAGAGGAAGATATTCGCGGTGTAATATAAATGATTAAGGAAAATGTCGTGTTTACGTGCATATGTATCCATTTAAAAAAAAAAAGAAAATACAGTTATAAATAAATATACATATATATATATACATGCATATATTATATGTAAAATTAAATAAGTGTGAATCTTGCTCGTTCGTTAGAATTCAGACAACGAAAGTCCGAGCGGGTGCTTTTTGTCGAGAATTGCCAAGCTTTCGAAAAATTACCAATAGCTCTTTCTCTCTCTCTCTCTCTCTCTCTCTCTCTCTCTTTTGTTTGAATATTTTTTTATCGCCAACAGAGTTTTCCGTTTTATCGTTTCAAATAAATATACAAAATTTTGTGAAAATAATTCAAATTGCAACACGCACGTCAAGGTAGAGGTCCAAAATTTCCTGAGAGAATCGAAGGCTGATTTGTGCGATCCATCCACATCGTTAAATAATTTGTCTCTGATTTTTCATTTTTCGACGAATGTGAATGTGCGCAGCAACACACGCTCGCAATTGTTGTTAATCACATGAAAATATCTCGCTTTCAAGAATTTGTGCCGCATGAGGATCAGATTGAATCGCGCGATCAAGCTTCTTCTCCCTCTCTCCTTACATGACATTGCTGCTGTCGGCATAAAATGCCATTGGTTCTGAGTAAAGAAGCTACGCACAGCAATAATAAAGTAAATAATTTGTATCCGCGTTGTTACATCCGGTACGAACACAAATGTCGTTTTTTTTTTTTATTTTGTAAAGTAAAACTGTGTGAATATGTCCCGCGCCTTCGACGAAAATAAATGAAGAAAAAGAAAAATCTATAGGAAGTAACAATTATAGATTTCGAAACAAGAATATATCGCGATTAAACATAGAATTACGTTTAGGGATTGAGCATGATGTACTATACTATTAACTTCAGACAATAAAATGTTATTATCGATGTTATCCTAGTAACTGTGTTTGATATATTTCTGCGACTCCCCTTTTAGCTTTTTGTGAACACATTCATTCTCTCCTGCTCTCCCCCAATATAAAAAAGCAACCGTCGAGCTCGAATATCTCGGAAATATTGTCCTCTTTTCCATGACGTTAATTGATTTTCGGCTATTTATGTGTCGCACTTTGACAGTTTGGGATTTACGTGAGAGATTGTTCGTCGAAAAACTTTTTCGACTGTGACAATTGACAATCAAATAAATATTATATATACATGCCCTACAGACTACACGCACAAAATGGCTTTATTGTGTGTTTTTTTCTTATATGAACAATTTTTTCTATATAAAAAAATTATTTCTACATTTTAAATCGTTTATTCAAATTTGTTGCGCGTCTTCGCTTCGTGGCCTTCGTTCGTTCCAGATTTTCGTTCTTTTCGATCAAAAGCGTTTTCTGCAACGTCGCAATGTGACGCTTGTAGTTGACCGTGTTGAGCGTGGCGTTCAGTTCTTCCGATTCGGTTCGCTCTATTTCCGGCACGGTTTTATGCGCGCCGTTTAACATTTGCTTGAACATCCCGATCTGATTCGGGGCAAGTATCGACACCGCGGTACCCGGTTTTCCCGCCCGTCCGGTTCTACCGGCTCGATGTATGTAATTCTTGATGTGCTTCGGAACGTCGTAAGATACAACCATTTGCACGTCCGCAATATCCAAACCTCTTGCCAACGCGTCTGTGCTTATCAGTCTATAAAATAAGATCAAGACAATAACTTTTGTAATAGAATTTAAAAAAAATTTGAAATATATATATATTATTTTTAAAACAAGAGTAACATTTTGTCATTGCGTCACAGCAATTTGTTTTTTTTTTTTTTCACTCCGAGAAAACGTACACGTGTATGTCTCCGCTTGCGAATTTGCCGAGAATGCTTTCGCGCTGTTTCGCCGTGAGCTGAGCGGATAATTCCCCGACCGCGACAGGAAGTTTCCATTCCGACAGGAGCAGTTGCATCAACAAGGCTAATCTGTGAGCGGTATGTCCGGAATTTGTGAAAACGAGAGTTTTCGAGATAATATCGTGTCTCGTCAACAAACGGTACAAGATAATTGGTTTGTACTCGAGAGGACATTCCATCGCGAGTTCCGTCAGTTCTCCCGGACTCGTGTATCGTCCGACAAAATCACCCGCGAGCTTGTCCAGATTCACATCGGTGTCTCTATCGGTCACAACGGTTGTGAATAGTATCGGATGAAAGAGGCTCAATCGGCTCAACTTTTCAGGATCCTGCGACAAGGTCGCGCTGAACAATAGCTTTTGAGCCGGTTTAGTTCCGCTAGTTAAAAACAAAAAACAACGAAAAATATAATAAACATGAATTTCCACACGCGATATTTGAAAGTGTAAAAAGTATTCAAATGGATATGTTTGAAATTTCCAACGAACAAAAAATTACCTCGAAAGTAATGTTTCAAGTGTCAAAGCGGGTGCTTGGGAATGAGGTGCGGATAAATATTGCAACCATTCTCCCGCCCGGTCGGCCTCATCGATAACAAGATACTTCAGAGAATCCAAAGAAAATCCATCCGTCTTCAATACGTGATCCACCAGACGTCCGGGCGTTGCGATTACGATATCCACCAAAGACAAATAATCTCCATTTTCAGCTTTAAAAACGACGTTTGTTAAATTATTGTGCTTAACCAATTTTATTTGTATTAAGTGTGTATACATACTTTTTTTAATTATATTTGTTTGCTCTTGTTCGAAGGGAAATGCGCTCGAAAGTAAGCTTACTTTCAAATTCGTGTGAGATGTATAGGTGACCATTACTTTGTGAACCTGTGCAGCCAGTTCCTGCACCGGTAGAACAACTAAGCAGCGGATTTTTGGTACTAATCGCGTCTGCAAGTCCTGAACAATTGGCAACACATAAGCCAGAGTCTTGCCTGTAATATTTAAAATTATTCAAAAAAAATAACAAAAATTATATAAACACAACAATAACGAGCATAGTAATGTGTTTTTAATTCACATATCTCTTACTTATCCTTTAAGTGCTTACCACTGCCTGTAGGGGCAGATATACAAGTATCTCTGGGCCACAATCCTAATTTTCTGTCAATACTGCACTTGTGTAACCATTTTATTATACTGGATTGAACTGGAAATAACTTCTTGATACCATTTGCTTTTAAAACTTCAATAAGTTTGGCGTCCAAGATTGATTTTAATTCCTTGAAGGAAGATCCATTCTTCAAGTTGGCAGACACAACTTCAGGATGCGCCAGCCAATCTGGCAATACTCTCTTAACTCCACGTTGCTTTTTGTGAGCTTTTGCACCTAATATTATGAAATTGTTTTCATCCTTTTCAGCAGATTTTTTCTCACTAATATTCTCAGTATCTGTTGCTAAGTTTCCGTTATCAGTTTCTTCCACTTTTTCATTTTCTTTTGCTACATTGAAATGAATAAGTTTTTTCTTCTTTTTCTTTTTTGACGATACTTTGTCAGTTTGCTCATTGACTGTCTCAGTGTTGGTTTTATTCTCATTGTGTGCATCACTACATTCTTCTTTATTAGATAGTTTTCTCTTTTTTTTCTTTGGTTTATCTAAATTGCTCTTAGCCACATCTGACTTGTTATTCGCGGCAGCTCTTTGTCTTTTACGTTCTTCTATTCTCTGCAACAATTCCGAAAGATGATCAGGTTGTTGGTCTTTTACCTCCTCCTTACTTTCTCCTTCGTATCTATATAAAAAAAAAAAAAACACAAAATACCTACATTGTATATTAAAAAAATACATTGTGTATTAAAAGAATACACAGAGTAATATACACACTGTGTATTAAAAAAATCTAGGTGTGATAAATAATTTGGAAACAAATTTTTCTCACTTACTATTACTATTTGTAATAAAGATATTACCTGCTTACACCAAATAAGCTCATTGTTTTTTAAAATACAATTTAAATATAAGAGAGAAAATGAACAAAAATATACACAGTGGTCTGGTTTCCACCGAAACCCTCAATTCGGTGGATTCCACTCCGATACAGGATACCCCAGCCCCAGGGTTGGGCACGTATTATACGTGAGGTATTTTACATTGTATTATACTTGGTATTGTACAGTATAATACATCGCTTAGTTTTATACATATTATACTTCGTGTGGCGCCATCTCTACATCATGTGTATAGTAAATTTTTAAGTCCAACA